TAATTCTGTATCATAAAATTTATTTTTCCCTTCAGTTTAAATAGTAGCTTGTTACTAGCTTTATGTTGTTTCTAGGTTCATATCCTTTTCATTTAGCACTGATATCTTGGGTGTTAAAATTCAATTGTCCAGCATCAATGTTGAGACATCTGATGTCAGTGATCACCTTCCTTTATGGAGGGTAATACTTTTCTTTTGGGAACATTTAGATGTTTCTCTTAATCTGGAGTAGTCATAAGTATCTCTGTATTAAGCTTTGCTATGAATTTTTCCTTAATGATCCGTTTCATAGTTCTGTGTATCCTTTCAATCTAAGATTTGAATATTTCTGTATCTGGGAAAATGTTTGTCATTATTTCTTTACCATTTTGTCAATACTCTCCTTCTAAGATTCCCATTTTATGGATATTTTACACTCTACTCCTGTTTTTAATTTTATATGTTGTTTGTTTGTTTTTTTCCATCCCTTTCCTATGTATTCTGGAGAGTTCTTCAACCCAGTGTTCCAGCTCAGTAATTCATTATTGGTCTACAAAAAGCTGTATTTTTTCTGTTTTCTGAGTTCTTTATTTCCAACTGTTGTATTTTTAATACCCCCATCTCATATTCTTCTCCATGTTTCTAAAAATCTTCCCTTTTCAGATGTTGTTATGCTAACATACTCTTGCTCAGTTGATTGTATTTTCTCTGGATGAGGTTGCTCCATTTGTTGTTTTTTTCTTCCAGTAATTCCACTCCTAAGAGATTTTAAAATTTTCTTTGTGGACATCTCTCATTTCCTTGCAACAGTCAGCTACCTTTCCAGAATATTTAACCTAAGGAGAAGGATAAAAGGCCCTTATTTGTGCTCTTCCAGCTTGAGAGCACAAAGCCTCTGGTGTTCTACTCTGGCCTTAAGCACTTTTTTCATTGTGTCCTCTTACTCCTTTAAAAACAAAGCCAAACAAAACTACCACCCATCACACACATACTCACAACTCCTAATACTTCTGTCCCAGTCAGCCATACTGCTTCAGTTACTTTGTGTGGTATAGAGACAGAGAGGGGCTTGATAGGACCTTAGCTGATTGCTACTGGCACCATCCAAACTGTCTTCATGATGGTGAGATGTCTAACCTTTCTTCATTGAATTTATGCTCTGACTTAGGCACAGTATTGGGTGTTGGGATATAAACATTAAAAAGATGCAATTGTGTCTTCATTTTATTGAAGTAAATAGTTATTTATAATAACGTGTAACAAACTGATAGGAACACATGAGAAGAGTTTATTGCTTCCTTTATGGGGAAGGGAGAAAGAAGGTTTCTCCAGTGGAGGTATGGTTGAGGTTGAGTCTGGAAGGATTTTTTTATTAATTTATTTATTTTAAATTTAAGCTTGGTGAAGAGGATTAGAGGAGGTTGGGAGAAAGTAGCATTTCAAATAGAGAATAAGTCTTTAGTGGTAGGTACTGCCAGGTTGGTTGTCTAGCTGTTGCTGTCACTTTCCATGTGCTGGTGTAGTTTTGGCAAGGTGTAACATAAGGATTGGGGATTGGGTGAATTGGAGGGGTACTTGGAGTTTAAGAAAGGAATTGAGACCCCCATCCCCACCCCGGTGCAGGGGTTAAAGTCTCAGCAATTTTGAGCTATTGCCAGCCACTGCCCACTGCGGCATGAGTTTCATCCCTGGCCAGGAAGCTAACCCACATGGCACAGCAGACCTCTCCTGTCTCACCTACTGCTCCCCTCAGCAGTGTATTGCAATAAATCTTCCTGTTCTTCTCCCAACTCTGTCTCTGATGAATCCTCTCACCCCCTGAACCTCTGGCCTAAACCCCAGTCCTTGTATACATAAATAAATAAAATAAATTCTTTAAAAAAAAAAAAAGAGGGGCCTCCCCGTTGGCGCAGTGGTTGAGTGCTGGGCTGCCAAGCTGCCCACAACCTCTGCAGCACCGGTTTCGATCCCCGGCCACTGGCGAGGGTCCCACTTGGCGCGCAGACCTCTCCTGCCACGCCCACTGCTCCCCTCAGCAGTGTACTTTGGTCCTTCTGCCTGTTCTGCTCCCTGCTCTGGCTCTGGTGAATTCTCTTACCCTCCCGTGCTTCTGACTGTACCCAGTGCTTGTATAAACAAACAAACAAACAAACGAACAAACAAACAAATAAATCTTTAAAAAAAAAAAGAGGGCCTCCCTGGTGGCACAGGTGGTTGAGCGCAGTGCTGTGAAACTGTCTGCAGCCTCTGCAGCATGGGTTTGATCTGGCTGGCTGGGGAGATACCCACGTGGTGCAGCAGACCTCTCCTGCCTTGCCCGCTGCTCCCCTCAGCAGTGTATTTCAGTCAGTCTGCCTGTTCTGTTCCCTGCTCTGTCTCTGGTGAATCCTCTCACCCTCCTGTGCATTGGCCTGTACCCCGGTTCTTGTATAAATAAAAATATAAAATAAATCTTAAAAAAAAAAAGGGACTCAACATGACCAAGTTTATATTTTAGAAAGAACTCATCATATTATAGAGAAAGAATTGACATGGGGCAAGGCAGCAGCCCTTGAGACATAGTAAGAGGCTTTACAGTAATCTGGGCATTGGTGATGGCCTGGAATAAGACAGTAATTGTGAAGATAGAAGTGGTTAAATCTAAAAGACAAGGCTGTTGAATACCCAGGACCCTGTAGTTGATCATGTTTGGTTACACTTGATCATGAGGACAGAGCAGTTTCCAGAAAACACCTCATTTTCTTTCAGGTGTATCATTCAAAATGCATGTTTTCTAAATGTCATTGAATTTTAAAAATAACCTGGAAACATAATGAAGCAGTAGCCCACCTTTTCTTTCTTTCTTTCTTTTTTCTTTTTTACAGATTCAGTTTCTTACCACTGATTCTAAAATGCAAATAGCATAGTATAATGGAAGATTTTCCTAAAGTTTGTGGTAAATGGTAAACTTGGTTGACAGTAAAAGCTGTCAATGAAGCTATTTATAGTCTTTGTTTATCCCACTTTATGTGAACATTCCTGTTTCCTTCAGAATTATTGTGTATGATGATGAGATGCTGCTTCAAGCCTTCCTGTCAGTTTTATTTGACATAAGTATACTTTAAATCCAAAATTTTCTGAGGAAGAATGTCTAGCCCTAGTGGTTTCAGATTATAAATTATGGACTTGTACTTTAAATCTGAGCATTTTATATTGCAATATTATATTGCAATGGTTCTAATAAGAACCATTATGTGACATTGTAGCCCTGGGGGAAAATGAGGTATATATGTATTATATAGCACAAACTCCAAGATAGATTGCTAAGTGAAGGTATAAGATAGTGTGTATAGTATGCTTTTGTTTGGGTTTAAAAAAAATAGGAAGGTAGAAATACATATACATACACCTGCATAGATATATGTGCATATGCAGGCACACATAGAATTTATCAGTAGAAGGACAAAGAGGTCATATCAGTTACTGAAAATTGGGATCAGTGTTGAGACGATGTGTGTGCACATCCACACCTATTGTACTGTCAGATGTTTCATTATGTGCATCATTCTTTTTGTTTAAAATTGAAGTTACACAAATGACTGATAGTTGTGAAAACTTGAAGATTTATTTAACTTCCAGCTCCAATAAATGCATTTATTTCATGATAATATGGTTAAAAGTGATAGATGTACACATGCAGATACACACGTCTGTGTGTCTCCTCTGATATTCTGTTTTTATTTGCTACTATCATTTGTTTTAGGACTGCATCCAGAGATGAATTTCAGAAATCCTTAAATTTTTAAATGTTGACTACATAGTGTTGCTAAGATGGCCAGAAACGGGGAGTAGGGAAGAACATGGCTAAAGATGAGAGATAATCAATAGATGTTGGGATTTATCCCCACTATTTCAGACCAAGCAGTAAGAGCAAAGGGCAGAAGCCAGGAGTATAGTTTTCAAGAAGCAGATCTGAAGAGAAAAGATATGGCATGGCAAAAGATTGTATAGCAACACAAAGGAGATAAAGTATATTTTTGACATCAAAAAAATATGAGACAGAAATAAAGAGAAAAGAAACAAAATTGGGAGACCCCTTCGAGAAAGAAAGCTGTGGAGGAAAATTTAAATATTATGAGTGCAATATTGCTTCTTGTTATTGGATGTTTCATATGATTTTCTGCATACAATAGAAGGATAATTCTATGTTAAAAAATAAGACTTGGTGTTTTAATAGGACAAAAATACTACTTGGGACAGAGTGAGGAAAAGCAAAGTCCATTTGTCACTAATAAATAAATTAGTATAAACTGAGGTCAGGGAAAACATCCGACATTACTTGTCACATTTTGTCAAATGTATATTTAAATTATCTTTGCTACTTGCACAGATATTTGCATTTTTAATTCCATCCACAGTCTCTTACAGTGAAAAGCAGAAATTGAATACTTTATCATGATGTTTGATATTTGTGTTTTCTTTGGTGATATTTTAATTGTTTTTTTAAATATTAAATCAATCTTAGGTCCTGGTTTGTAGTGTGCATGAAGTTAATAAAATGTCAGAAAAAAATAAGATTTAGATAGTCATGTACTCAAAACATTCTTTATTTTTTTATTCTTTGTATAAAAAATTAAGTTGATGGATGGATTTTTGATAAAGCAAGTATAGTAAAATGTCTATTGTAGTATCTAGGTAGTGTATAGAATCTGTTTGCTTAAATATTTTCATTAAAAATGTTGGAAAAAACAAACTAATGAAAAAATTATGGTAAATAAACAGATACTGTATGAATACTAAAACAGTGATCACATATGACTTCTTTTTGTTCTTCACTGTTAGTTTTAATATTAGTGGAAATAAAAGAATTATTTGTTCCCTTTTTATGAAAATTGTTTTGTCCTTAAAATAGTTATTACTAATAAGAATAAAGATAAATCAAAATTTATTAGGGTTTATCAAAACACTGTTGGGGTAAACATAAATTATAGCAGACAAGGATTTAACAACTATTTAAAACTTTTTTTATTCTTCTATTTTAGGGAATCTGTAAACATCAAAGCTGGATTAGAACATCTGGTAAGTTCTAATTTTCTCTTGAACATTTGCATCATCTTTGATATCTGCATTCTAAATGAACACTTTTGAATGAGCTTTGAATACCTTGTATTGAGAAAGTCAACCATTTCCCAAAGGGTCAGCTTACTGTTATTATGTGAAGGCACTTACATTTTCATTTATCTTACCATTTCAAGGGAATTTAAAATTTTTTTAAATTACTTTTTTTTTTTTTTTTTTGATGTAGAGATGAAATAAAATGGATGACAATCCTTGGATTGATGCTTCCTTTAATTATAAACAAAAATTGGTTGGTGTAGAATTTTTGGCTTATCTTGATCAGACAAAAAACAAGCTTGTGTTTTACGAAAAACACAATCAAATATTGCATGCATAAATATGGTATGTTTTAGCAATTTAACGGCTTTGAGAGAAGTGCACAGCTTTGTTTTTCCTGATGTCTTTGCTTTATGAATAATGCATTGGTTTAAGCTACATTCAGGTTTAGAATATAAAATAATTGAGATGCAAAATTTTTGGTGTAAGTAAACATTTTTAAAATACAAGTGAAATTCAAATCAACAACATTAAAATCTGTCCATTGATTAAAAAATTGGAAAAAAATTACTTTTTAACGGGTCCAAAATTCACTGATCTCTCCACATTGAGTGTTCATTACAACGTTAAGTAGTTCATTTAAACAGAGCATTATAAAGTCATGCTCTGGTTTCTAGTCGAATCCAAATGTTGAATAATTAATGGTAGAGATTCTTTTGTAAATACAATCTAAGTACTTTTTAAATGCAAGACTTCATTCGTATATCATATTGTAGCTTTGTTAACTATTAATGTGCTTTTGTTCTGCTCCCACAAAAGCAAACATTTCATGAGGCAGCCTGATTTGACTTATTAGTAGTTTTAAGGGATAGTTGTAAGGGAGTTTTGGTTTCTTTTCAATAACTAAATGAAGGTAAAGAAGACAGAGTTTCAAAAAATGTTCCTAAAATAATAAATTCATTACTAAAAAGCAGAATGTCATAACCTACTTTGAAATCTGGACTATGTATTTGTCCAGTTTACAAGTAAATAAATAGCAGAGTTATTCTCATTGTTAAAAATTATTTCCTCAATTCCTATTTATTATTTCATAGTGACATATATATCTAGGACAGATGGACATTGAATTAAAAGTTTTAATATAAGGCATCATTTTTCAGTGTGGGGCTTATTACAAAGAAGAACAACTACCACAGTGCCAAAATGACCTGTCTTTTATATTTTTCCTGTAAATTACTTTTTATTGAGAAGACTATTTATTACATACCTTAGTAAATAATGAGTTTGCTTTTTTTCAGTTTAAATTTCATACTTTTTACACACTTACTAGTTAGATTTCATTTTCCATAACCATTTCATACATTTATACTCTGCTTAGAAGCTCAGCAGCAGTTGTTTGGTTTTCTAACTGCCTGGTGCTGCCAAAAGGGCTCCCCAAAGCAGGAGGCATCCCAAACTCCCCTGCCCACTTTAACCAGAGAGCTCTACTTTGAGTTATTATGTAAATTTTTACATTTTTTTAAATACGATTTCATATAAAGAAAGAGCCTCTAATTAAGATATTTAAAAATCTTTGATGAAGTGCACTAATTAAAGTTGGATATAATTATTCTTTTCTATTCTTGATTCTCAATTATATTTCATTTTCATCTGGTTCATAGATATCAAATATGATACATTTTATATCTGGAAATATATACACAAAAATCATTGACAGTGTTTTATTTATTAAAATGATATTGCATTTTAGGGATGAGAGCCAGAATTATTAGCACAACAGATAGTAAGAGGTAGATGATTTTAATGCATTTTATCCAGGTTGTTCAAAAGATTCTGTACCTTTACATTGTAAAATTGACACACCAACTGTGAATTAGTAACAAAAATACGAATATATAACATAATATCACATATATATAGCTTTGTACACTAATAATATTCATTGAAGTCAATGATAGTCTTTATAGCTGTCTAAAAAAGGAAGTAAATGCAGCAATTTATTGGTTGAGCATCAATGAAGCCTATCTGTCCAGCACTGTGCGCTCACTCCATGGGTTTATTCTCTCCACTTTCCAGCTGAGCAATACTTAAAGCCTTTGCTGTCTATCTAGCACATGTAGCTCTTCTTTGTATTGGTCGTTTGGCCAAATACAATTAGAAGTATGGCTTCTAATAGATTGATTTTAAAAATCAATGTTTTTTTTTTTAAAATATGTAGTGTAAAATTAAAATGAGAACATTTCCTACATTTGAAGTTAATACTTTAGCCTTCTTTAGTCTATGTCTTCAGATTTACTTGGATTTTTATAGAGAATTAGCATTTGTCTAAGAGAAGTAAAAGCCGGTATCAGTTTAAATATGTTCAGAAAAATGACACAAGCATCATGTTATATATGCCCCAAGGACACATTTGTGGTAGCTCTGTCTTTGTGCTCTGTGGATCCTCTTGGTACACAGTTATTTGTCACCCTAGAAAGGAGAAAGCAGGTGTGGATGTAGAAAGAGAGTTGGAGAGGTGCACTGTGTTCCTAAGGAACCTCTTCGTGGGCTGATTTCAGTTATCTACTCTCTCAAGTCCTTGATCAGCCATTGTTCTATGATTCCTTTCTTTCTATGTTGTTAATTGCCTGGTGCTGCCAAAAGGGCTCCCCAAAGGAGGAACTGCTTTCCCAACTTTTCTTGGGAACTGTCCAGCATGTCATTTTCATCCTAAATTTCTTACAATATACTGCCCAATACTACTTCGTCTATCTTTTCGACAGCCATCCATTACCCACAAAGTCTATGTCTGTTTAAAGTTCTAGACAGAAAAAAATAAAATAAAGTTCTAGACAGAGCCTTTGAAGGTTAGTGCCTCACCATCTATTGTTGATCTTGCCTGATCATTGCAAAGTGATTTTTCAATTTGACTATATATAGTGGCCAACATTCTATTATAAGAACTCACTCTTTTTATTTATTTATCTAATTTATTGTGAGTAAGGGCTCATGGATTTTTATTTTACTAAGCTGGTTATTACCGATTTCTTTCCTTGTTTATTTTGGTGCTCAGATTTTCCCAGATTTGTCTAGAAAGTAGCTGTCCAAGATGATTTTAAGGTGCTTTTTACATACCCTGTCTTTTTTGGTTTAAGCACTTCCTTGTTTTTTTGGCACACAATATTCCAGGCTCATCTTACACCTTCCCACTCCCCAAATGAGTCACTTCTTTAGATGATCCTGTTTCATTTTAAAGTTATATGGTATTTAGAAATCAAGATCTGGGCATATAATGTGCTCATTGTCTCTGGGATTTCATTACCCCTGGGACCTGTTAGTACTTGATTCCATAGATAGGTAGCTCAGCTTATATTTTTAAGAAATTGGATGTTATACTAATACCTTGAATTTCAGTTCAAACAACAGATTCTCCTTGCCCTCTCCCATTTCATCTGTATTTCCTTCACTCAAAGTGAGAACTCTGACCCCTAACAGCACCAAGGCATTTTTTTTACTTGCTCAATCATATAATACACATAAAGTTGTTCCAGATTTGCTGCATCCATACTTTGTGAAAATAAATTATAAAAAGTTTAAGATTTATTTTTAGTTCTTTGCCCCCTATGTGTGGTGAGTTTCATTTGAAATATAGCTGCATTCATTTATTTCTGTTTGCATTCAATTTTAAGTAACTTTGTCCCCATTCCTGTGTACTTGATTATATACTAGACCACTTATAATGTGACTGTGCTTCCAAAAGTAAAAATTGCAAAATAGTGTTCTCAGAGAGGTATCGTTCTCTTTTTCTAACTTGTTCCCCTCCATCCCTTATAAGTAGCCAATTTTAGCTTATTTATCTGTTTCTTTTTATAAAATTAAGCAATATGTATATATTCCAACTTCCTGTTTCTCAAAAATAACATATCTAACTTTTTGTACTATTAGGTTTTTTCCCTTTATTTATACTTTGCTGATTTTCAGTTAATCCTGGAAATCCCTCAATTATTATTGTTTGTCATTATATTTATTGTGCTTTTTTTCCCTCCTTGGCTGTGTCTTCTTTGTGAAGGAGCTGAGGTTTTAGCCTATTTATGTGCCTGCCATACTTTAATAGATGCTGGCCAAGGACATGTGATTCCTAGGTCAGCGACAAAGCACTTTATCACTAATAAAAGGTAGCACATGCTTTATCACAAAAGGTAGCACATTTTTCATGCTTGCGTAGGTTCCCCCGACCCTGGTTTCTCATGGAGTGATGCTGTATGCCCCACCTGGTTTGTGTGAAAGCTGAGGAGCTCCAGCATTTTGATTTCTTTACGAAGCTACTAGAAAATCTGTCCAAACTTTGCCCATAGGAAAGGCATTATCTTTATTGTCCTAGTTAAATAATAAAACTGCTCTTTAGCCTAGAGGAAACTGTATCTTTCAAGACTCTTTACTTACAAAACATCTTTGAAAATGGTTCTGAACTCAGACTGATGGTCAGTGTAAGATGTAGAGAACACTATAGAGAATTGTCTCTTAAGAACTATTTTTTATTATGAAATTTGTTTTTGCTTTAGTGGTTACTTTTGTATTTATATCTTTTATAGTGCTTTTAATCCCCCCTATTCCTGATCAACCTTAAATGACACCCTTTGCTCCTACGTAGCCCCTTGATTATAACCAATATTTCCTATTATACTTTCCTTTTTTTCTTTTCCTCCCATTTCTGCTTTATTCTTGTTACTTTACTAAAACATACTATGTTTACACTCTTTTCTTCCACCCATACTGTCACCTCCTTTTAGAATCAATTCTAAACATAAATATTTACCATCAGTTTGCTGATATTTTCACACTTACTTCCTATTTGTATAAAACTCATCCACTAGTATATACCTCAAGCAAGATTCCTGTGTATAGTATTACTTGAGATCTTAGCCAGTTAAAGCAGTTTTTCTATAGTCTTCCACTTGAATGACAGCTTTGCTGGACATGTAATC